CTTTCACACTCGTGTGGCCTTTTTAAAATCTTCTCTCTGCTTTTGTTAGACTGACTCAGTGCCAGGACTGTGTTGTAAAGGATGCACTGTCTTTTTATCTGCTTCAGAGTGGCTTAAGATGTCTGTGAATGTGTGTGTGTGTGTGTGTGTTTCATAAGGAAGAACTAAGATAGATGGATGGATATGGCATTTGAAGATGTGCATTTAGTTAAAAAGTGTGATCAAAGGTTGTTGGAAAGGAAGTGAAGTCATAATATATGAACAATATGATTATAGCGTAAGTATTCTCGGTGTTTATTTTCAGCCTGTGACTTTAATTTGCATTTAGGAAAATTAGTTCTGTTGTCATTTCATTTTTCTTTATTGCTTTAAATTGACAGAAAGAATATTCTTGCATTTACTTGAGGCTTAAAATGCATTAATAATTCTTTGTTAAGTAATCCTGCACGTGTATGTTGCTTTCACTTTCATTAGAAGCAATATTACACTTTTTTTCTTAATTTTTTTAACCACTTGAGAGTTTTCTGTATCATATTTGTTTTTATATGAAGGAAGTGAGAAATTGGCACCGTGTTTTTCTGTTTTGAGAACAGAGGAGGGAAGTTGCTATTTATATTTTCATAGAGAGTCATAGTTAGGCATTTGTTTTGTTTTTATGGATTTGTGTGTGTGAGCGGTGGGCGGATGAGGGTTGTTATGATGACGGTGACATCATCATAGTTCCACATTCTTTTGAAGTTCTTCTGTCTCATTTCGAGCTTTCTTTTCCGAACGGCACACATTGGCTGCATCTATTTCTTGCTCATTTGAACATTCCCATACATAAACAAGCGTGGATGTTTTCTGCATTGTGTCCACTGTGCTTGGATGCGAGCCATTGGCACGTATGCTTCTCGAGTTCAAGTCCTTGGCAGCTTTTTTTGCTTGCTCTGGAATTTCGCAGGCCTGAGAGCCCCTCTATCCATCATGAGGATGTCACACCCCCTGCGTGTCCCCCCACCCCAGCCCCACTACAGCTCATTAGAGCCCACAAGCTCCAGTGACAACTCATCATATCATGCCGTAAAGCGGAGAGAGGCGCTCGGGCCCTCAGGGGCCACAAGGTCGCCACCTTCACATTTTGTCTTTAAATTGCTCTGCAAGGTGCCACCAAGCGGAAATGTAGTGCCAACAGCTTTTTCCTGCTGCTGTCCGGCCCTCTGTCTTCCTCTTTCTCCTTGTGTCTCTTCCACAGGCCTCTCACAGAATAACCATATATATCACTATAACCAAATATTGTGATTTTTTTCCTAATAATCAGCTAAGATTTACTTTTTTTTTTAACAATTAGTATTATTATGATTTATTACGGAAATGTAAATAGTAAATATATATTTTTCTAACTATGTTCTGCTCTTAATTATTTAATTGACTAAAAAAACACTTTCACAGTCACTATGAAATTATTATGTTTTCAATAATTTTTTAATAATCAACTGATGTAAGATTTGCTTAGTATCAGTGTTGTTATACATTTTTATTTGTACATTTTTAATTATTATTATTGTGATTTATTTAAATTATGGTTTATTATGGAAATTATATAGTAAATGTATATTTTTCTAACTATGTTCTGCTCTTAAATGTTTTCTTGTCTACAAAACCTCTCACAGTCTCTATTAAATATTTTTGTTGTTGTTAGTAATTACAAGTAATTATTTTTCTAATAATCATCTGATGTAAGATTTACTTAATATCAGGGGTCTCGTACATTTTAAGTTGTACATTTTAAAATATGAGTATTATGATTTATTTAAATTATGATTTATTATGGGAATTTGTATGGTAAATGTTTTTTTCTTTTTTATGATCATCTGCTCTTAAATATTTAATTGTCTATAAAAAACAACTATAAAATGATCATTTGTTTTTTTTTTGCTTTGATGTAAATTTACCTTTTAAAGTGGCCTTGAGTATTTGCCAAAGGCAATATATAAATTATAAAAATAATAATAATTATATGTAGGCTATATAAGAATAATAATAATTAAAATGAATTTCAAATTGTTACTAAATTGATAGAAAATCAATAATTTGTTGCTCAAAAGGAGTGGGAACCCTGATATATTCTTTCTCTTGAGTGACAGTGTGTATTTTGTGAGTATAAAAGTCATCCTTGTGATAACTAAAAACTTAAAAACTTGTGTGTGTGTGTGCGCACATTCCTTTGTTTGTGAACGAGAGAGAGGAAGAGAGAGTGAAGGACAGGATTTGATAGACACTGCATCAAAATGAGTGTGACGTGCTCTTCTAAGACAAACAGGCCTCTCCATGGCCTGTCCATTAAAACAGGCCCGGCTTTTGTAAGACCACCACTAGGGGTCATGACCCCAAGCAGAAACTGTCAATCTCATTGGTTCGGAGGGGGGTATGTATGTCTACAGATTTACTCAAACACTCAATGGGTATACAGACAGATTTGTTGACAAATATTAAGAGTATTTTATATTTATTTACCTCGTTCAAACACATCTACAAACTGCCAGTTTTCTCAAGAAATCACCACCTCTGGAAATCCGGTTTTCTTTTTTAATATTATTATTATTATTTACCTGGTTATGTGAATTAGTCCTTTAGCCTTTTTTCCTCTGTGTAGTTGTGATGGTTGTGGTGGGAGGTATTGGCAAACGATTAAACAGGAAGTAGCCCGCTTTCTTTGCACATAATAGGGAAAAAGACGCCCACATATTTTCTTTGTGTTCCTTGTGTGGGTTTATTGTGCATCTCGCTGGACCTCCGTGTGTCAGTCTCTTAACTCAATGAATTGTTTAGAAGTAGGGTTTTAAAGAACGCTTATTCTGCGATTGTTAGCGTCCGACAGTATGCGGTTGTCCGGCGAGAATGCACGGGAGCGTACGTAGGTGGTCTTCCTCACTCCCCTGAGTTGCTAGAGACAATTAGCCATGTCTGGAAGAACAGGGTAAAGCCATCGTACAATGGCAACGGGGTCAATAGAGCCAGATTTATTGTGAGGCTTTTCTTAAGACTGAAGACTTAATGGACTTGAATAGCACTCAGAAGGGAAATTGTTTGAAGAATGTGTTTTTGTATGGTGATTATCCATTGCGCCATGTTATTTTTGTCCCGCTGTGTGTCTTGTCCGGAAGGCATCATGACAACAAAGAAAAACCAAACAGAAAAGTGCTAGCGTGCAAGGCCTAAACGCAGGTCCACGTTTTTGCAGGCGGGTTTCTCCCGTGCGAAGAATAAAAGTTAAAGAAATTCCATTTCTAGCTATTCCAATTGACCTCCTTTTTTCTTCTCAGGGTCTTGCTGATCCGTTTAGGTGGAGAAGCGGGCAGAAACGCTACTGTAGCAAGCCGCAATAGCGTGCTGCGCTCCCCAGAAGCCAGATAAACGGGATGCCCGGCTATTATTCGTGTGGCTGTGTGGCGTTTGAAAGGGGTTCTGTTAGGCCCAGTGACTGTGATGTAAATCATTTGGCTTGTCTCTGGGTGAATGTGGCCGCAGTGGACAGCCATTTGGAGCTGTCCCTCAATGGAGAGACCCTGGACAAAAGAACTCATTTAAATGGCTACTAAAGCCTTTCAGCACAGGGAGAATTGACAACATTCTTTCACATCATTACTGAGGGGGAGGTTATGGGGTAGCTTGCGGTGGAGGGGTGTGCGGCACCGTTCCCTTAATGGCAAACTCGTCAGCTGTGTTTGGCAGCTGTCATCATCCCCGTCTGTTTTTCTGATGACAGGTCTTTCTTTTTAAAATGTATTTTTATATCTTATCTCTAGTTGTTTTTCTCCATGGCCTCGTGCTTTCCTTTTCCCATTTCTCTTTCTTTCTCCACACTATTTTCTGCTCTCAGGGGCCCCCGAAAACGTCCCCAGAGCCCCTTTTCTTTCCTCGAGCTGCTCTGTTCAGTTCATTAATCTTTCATTGGGAATATGGCAGAGTGGAACGCCCCCAATGCTGAAAGCGGCCTCTCTCTGTGCCTGTTTAGAGGCCCTGGATGGACACTTCAACCTCTCAGGCCTGGGCCCTGGTGTCCTTCCCATTCTCAAAGCTCTGATATTTTAGTCCTGACAAAAGGATGGCTCACCTCTGCTTTTATAAAACATGTCCTGACATTTAACGCCATTGTGTTTTTAACAACATCTCAAGTGCCGGATTTAATTTGGCACGTTTTAAATAAAGACAGTGGCCCCTATGTGCCTTTTTCCGAATGTACTGCGGGACATGCACAGCTGTCATACGTGCAGGCGCCTCAAAACCCGCATGTATGCAAACAGCTCGAGATGTTTTCCTGTCAGTCGGCTTGGTTTGCGCCGATTTATGCAGCGTCTACGGAAGCAAATCCCAGTCCACGTGTGGCCCGTCAAATCTACGGCACGGCAGTAATCTGGTTAGGTCGCGTGTACTGGGAATACACTAATGCCAGGCCATGCCTCAGCACCCCTCTGCTCGGCTGTAATCTTGGGTAATTGAAAATGGGGCCTGTGCCACTTAAGAACACAAAGAGCAGATTACATAGCTAAAACCAATTTGACCAAAATGCAGAAATGGATTTTCTCTCTTCCCCTCCACCCCTCCTTTACTATCTTTTATAATGCAAACCCTTTCCAAAACCAGACCCTGAAGGAAGAGGAAGGGGTGGGAGCACGAGATGCGGGTAACCCAGAAAAAAAAGGAGGGAGAGCGAGAGTGTGCTCAGATTGGCTGTCATTTGGTTTATTAGGTGGTTTTGGTGATTGTTTGTTTGGGTCACGTAAAGCAATCAGGCACTGTGTCTTTTATGCATCCAATGACTGTTGAATCAATAAAGTGCACGTCTGAAAGTGTTTTTAATTACAAACCACCCTGTTCTGAGAATGGGCTTGTGGTTTGTGATGGACGCAGAGTTGAAATGGAGGCGCCGGTGTGTTTCTGCCTCAACCCAAACATGTATTAAAAGCTTCTTCTTCTTCTTCCCACCCCCTTCCCTCTCTTTTTCTGTTTCTTGCCAGTCTAATAAGGTCCCCGTGGTACAGCACCCTCACCATGTGCACCCGCTCACACCTCTGATCACCTACAGCAATGAGCACTTCACGCCTGGGAACCCCCCTCCACATCTACAGGCAGACGTGGACCCCAAAACAGGTACATATGCATGCACGTCTTCCTTTACATTCATGAATTTCAAAACAAGCAGGACGAAACCCAAGGCTAACCTTCAGGCCTGGTTAACGAACGGCGCTGTCACGGTTACACTGTGATCTCGCCAGTCTGCATTCACAGCTACCTGGTAAGATGCATCAGAGCGTTTCGGAGTCGTCTTGGCTCAGGGCCAAGGTTGCACCCCTCCTTTTGTGTGCATGTTGAGATGGAGCTGTTGACCTGGGTCGGTTAAGCCTGTGGAGCCACTTGACTTCTGGGAGATGTAGCTCTGTTACTTAACTGCGGGATCCCAAAGCTATTCTTGTTCTGATTCGGAAAAACAAAATCTCAGTTTTTGCCCACTTTTGATGACGCACAAATCGGACAATTGTGAAATCTATATTTCCCAACCAGGATGAAAACTGTATGAGCAGGAGGTTTACCAGGAAACTCGATTTGAAGGCTTATGTGGTATCTGTGAGAATTCTCATCTCAAAAACAAAAAGATTTCTGTTCAGGTGTGATATAATGTCATTTGTTGGTATGTTTCAGAATCAGATTATCATACATAGAGGCATTTTCCTCTTCTGCAACACTATACAGTCGAACAGCTGCTCTTCAAAGCTGTCGACAACTTGGATGTTGATTTTAGAGAGGCTTTTTCTGCTCTCATAACAGACCTTATCACTAAGGGCCTCTTTAAGGAGTCAGAGACTGTTTAATGTGCTGCTTAATGGCTCACTTAATTGAGTTTAGAGTTTAATTAACAAATTGTATTAAGACCGCTGTACGCAGTGCCAATGTGCTGTGGAGGCATTGTTTTCCTTGTTCTGCACGGCTAATATTATCCAGCAGTATCAAGCAGAATTTTTACACTTGTTTTAGTCGTTTACCTTTAGAATGACTACTTTTTTAAGTGTTTATTTTTACAAAACCAAATTTAGTAGATTTTGAGGCAAAATGGCATCAAGTAGACTAAATGGACGTACATTGAGTCAGACCAAAGTCATCTAGCTTGTTAGCTTGATGTTTTTTTGTCATTCACATTGTTGCTAACTTATGCTATTGTAAACCACTGAATTCTTATTTAGGGTTGGTTTTAAACCTTCTACCCACCACATGTAATGTTAATAATGTGGTTAATTGGCTGCTAAACTCTAAAACCAATATCGGGACAGTTTCCACACTTGAACAGCTGATGTGTCAGTCTCTCTTAACACATGTTGCAGTGTTTGCGTTGTTGACTTCTGAACCTCAATTATCGCCCGTTGTTAATCCTCTGATTCGATAGACAAATGTGACAGGGCTCTGTATTTTTTCTCCTCTCCCCCGTGTGCCATACAACATCGTGGCTGCCTCCACAAGCTTTGATCAGAACGTGTGATTTAGAGCTGTGCATGTGAGCTCAACCTCCTCCCTCTCCCACCTCCTTCTGATGTTGACTTTGTTCAATTGTGTATCTTACAAAGGATAAATTTAACACTTAAACTTCATCTGGGAATTTCTGTGTCAGGACAAGAGCAGAAACATTTTCACACTGTTCACATACACATCTCTTTCGCTCTCTCTCTTCATTCTTTTCTTTGCATTTTTTATATTTCTCTTGCAGGAATCCCAAGGCCTCCACATCCTTCAGATATATCCCCCTACTACCCCCTGTCACCTGGCACTGTAGGCCAGATTCCCCATCCGCTAGGATGGTTAGTACCACAGTAAGCAGCCCAATTTTATTCCTCTTCTTTCGTCTTTGTGATGCTGTTATAACATGATGTTAAGTGGGGTCCAAAGTCTGAGATCTTAAAAATGCTTTTAATTAATCAGTTTTGAATATAATTATTTGTTATTCAATATGTATGTTTAATATATATATCAAAACATGTAAATCTTGAATAAAATATAAAAATTGTATCAGTGCTTATTTTATTTTACAGGGTTCAGTTTGATTATGAATCACAGATCCCAGATTTTTATTGAGGAACCTGACTTTTGGGCACCACTTCATATATTATGACATATTTAAGACTGCATTTGTTCAAATATGTTGCCTTTTGCCATTGTGTATCTTATATTCTCCAGGCCTCTGTCCGCCTTGCTGTGGGCCTCTGGGTACTTAAGATGCAGTTTGAGACTTCAGCCATCACAGGACACAAAAGCTAACTCTTAACCCTCTGTACAGTTTATACATTCTGGAAAGGCACCACTGGGGCCCACAGCAATGCACCCATGGCTTTCTTCATCCCCTAAACTCTAAATTGCCTCTTTGTGGCAAATGCTATTTTGCGTGTCTCTGTATTGTCCAATTAGATTAATGAACTGTGATTGCCAGTATTTTACCCACAATTCCACACGGGGGCTCTCCCCTGGTAACTCTTGTCAACACTTGTTAATATGACAAAAGGCTACAAATTAAGCTCTGTTAATTTAATGTTTTCTCACCGCGATCTAAATACCGAGAGAGGCCCCAAGCGCAGCCACGGCCCTTTGATTCTCTGCACTTTATTTTGGTATAAATTTACATTCATTATTGTTTGTCTTTGGATGTGTAGACCTCAATTAGCGTGATGGCTCCATTAAAGGGGCCGGTGCTTCGTCTTTAATTAGCACAACAAAACACCTAGTTTCAGCTCAGGGAGAGGGGCTTCCATCGACACCAAGCGCGGGGTTATGAAATTTAATTAGCCATTCCTATCAGATTTGTGGCATTCAAATTGTTCAGAGTTTGCTTTCCTTTGATCTGCGCTCTGCAATCCCCTAGATTTTTGTTCTGATCAAATGAGAATAAAGCCGCCTGCATAGAGAGTGCTTTTTTCTCTTTTTTCATCCCTTCCTTTACCTCTCTTCCTTTCTTCTTTTCCTAGGCAAGGTCAACCAGTTTACCCAATCACGACGGGAGGTTTCAGACACCCCTACCCAACTGCCCTCACTGTCAATGCGTCCATGTCAAGGTGAGTTGAGCCTTGGGACGCCGTGTGTCAAAACCCTTGCAAACTTCTCCCTTAAGGAGAGACAGCTCTCGCCTCAGTGTTCAAAAAGACGGTCCCGTGCGATCCGCTATGTATTCAAATATTAATTATTGTTATCATTTTATAATGAGACCCCTAAAGAACATTTACCCTGACTGAATGGCAGAGAACGAGACGACTGTCAGTTTAACTACAGTCACATGCAGAAGTAAACCGCTGCAGATTTCGGGGGCCGTCGTTGGACGCTGAGCGAGAGCTTTGTGTGGCCCGTTGGGGTCTGGTTCAAGTGGCGATTTGGACGCAAATGTCCCCAGGAGAGCACTAATGGTTGTGTGGGTGTGTGGGGGGATTGTGGGATATGCGTGTGAGCGTTTGTTTGTTTTAACTGTCACAGTGATTGCTCCCTTGTGACTGTTACTCATCTGTTATGTGAGAAGTGGGAGGTGTTTGCTGTAGATGACAAATCTCTGCTTACTTTATAGCTTTTATATCATTTGAACACAAAAGTGAGATGCAAACAGCTTCATTTGGTGGTCACCTTCTTCTATATTTACTTGGCCTTTCCCTCCTAATCGGAAACATATGATATTCTTTTCGCAATGATGATGAATGTGAAGATGATGATGATGATGGTGGTAGTGCTGAGACTAGCCAGAGAGGCACAGAGGCAGATCTGGTTTATAGTTTCGAGAAATGGAGACCAACTCGAGCCCAGCCTGTGTCTCCAGACAGGGACAAACTCTTGTTTAATTGCAGAGTGATTGGAAAAGCAGCTCTGGAGGCCTGGCGAGCTTAGACCAGAGGACGTTGATGGATAAATGTGAGCTGGGAGGGAGGAACAGGGAGGGGTTTTGTGCGCCTTAAACACTCAAAACTCAAAGAAATGTCTCATACAGTGTTTCTGTTCTGGACATTAGGATGTTTAACATGCTCAAACATTGGGCCCTCATTCATGAAACACGAACGGAAACAAATATGCGTGAGTTATGTAAAATTGCTTGCATAATTGTACATTTTTGTGTGCAAAGTATAATTATGAACAATTTAGACATGAAATAAAAAAAAATATTTAATCAAAAATGAGAAGAATGAGTTTTTGTGTGAATCATTCGTAAAACATTTTTTCTAAATTAACTTCTCTTTGATGCAAAGAGAACTTAATTTAATTTACTGTTATGTACATAGACAAATGTATCCACAAATGGTTTTATGAATGATTCAGTCATGAAATGAGCAGAACGAATTTTAGTAAAATCTTTACGAACAACAACATGCAAATAAAAAATACATAAGAATAGCTTATGTACAGTTTATTCTTGAACTGCAGATTACTTCATGAAACATGAGCAGAACAAATTTCTTCGTAAGTAAATCATAAAACAAAGTAAATTATCTGAGTGAATGCAGCAAATTTACACAAGAATGTTAAAACAAACAATTAACATTGATTCTGCTTGCGTGAGTAAATGAGGCCCAATCTCGCGCTTGCATCTAGTATATTTTCATCATCCTCACAGTTTAAAGTTGTCAGGCCAAACATAACAGCTCTGAAACACAATATTTAGCTCTGCAGTGATGATCAGAGTGCAATGACAGCTGCTCTGCTTATGAGCACAGGGTCTTTGCAGCTGGTCCCGACTCTTAAAGGTCCATTTTTATTAACAGCTGGCTCTGAAACCAAGGCTTCACACATTTGACACCAACAGCTTTCACCCCGTGTGTGTTTTGAGGTCTCGGCTCCATAGAGAAGTCGTTTGTACCCTGCCAAGGCCTGAAATGAGCCCATTCTGCCTGCTTCGCGCGGGTCTGCAGCCTCTGCTCCGGCGCTAGACCTTCACTTAAGTGACAGCTGATTCTGTTCTAATGAGGCCTTTATATTGTGATCATCCTATTTCCAGTGCAGGCTAATTTAATCTTCTGAATGGGGGCTAGGGGGATTGGCGATGTGCTGGGGAAGAGCTAATGCGTTTTGATAATCTGTAATTGAATTAGCATAGATTAATAAGTGGTGGTCTTGTGTCTCTGCGGAGGGAAGGTGCTTTAGCATGTTTGTGTCAAAACCGGCGGCGTCCGCTGTCACCGGCCTCCTGCGCAAAATAATGAGCACCGGGAAAAGGTTTCATTAATTGTGTTTATGGTTTTTCTATGAATAAAGAGGGCGAGAGAGAGGGAGGGGAAATCTTGCTTTGTCTTCTTACACAGTCAGTGGACGAGAACTCCAGGAGGCCTCGGGATTAAGAGACGCCCATATGTTGCTCTCTGGTGCCTGTCTTCGGCTCATAGAGATTCTGATGGCCCTATCTGCTGCCATTTATTATGCAGTTAGCACACAGGGCTTCATGCAGCGATCTGCTTTTCACCCAGGTAACACTTCAGCCTCCTAAAAAATACATTTCAGATCACGAACAGCGAGGACTCGGATCCGGCAATTGAGCTACATGGTTTTGATAATGGGGTTGGAGTCGTACAGGTGTATCGGCCGAATAAGTGGTGGTCTTGTGTCTCTGCGGAGGGAAGGTGCTTTAGCATGTTTGTGTCAAAACCGGCGGCGTCCGCTGTCACCGGCCTCCTGCGCAAAATAATGAGCACCGGGAAAAGGTTTCATTAATTGTGTTTATGGTTTTTCTATGAATAAAGAGGGCGAGAGAGAGGGAGGGGAAATCTTGCTTTGTCTTCTTACACAGTCAGTGGACGAGAACTCCAGGAGGCCTCGGGATTAAGAGACGCCCATATGTTGCTCTCTGGTGCCTGTCTTCGGCTCATAGAGATTCTGATGGCCCTATCTGCTGCCATTTATTATGCAGTTAGCACACAGGGCTTCATGTAGCGATCTGCTTTTCACCCAGGTAACACTTCAGCCTCCTAAAAAATACATTTCAGATCACGAACAGCGAGGACTCGGATCCGGCAATTGAGCTACATGGTTTTGATAATGGGGTTGGAGTCGTACAGGTGTATCGGCCATCCTGGGTGACAGGGGGAGGAAGTGTAGGCCCCTCGGCCCCTGCCCGTTCCTGCCCTTTGATATGTTCCTCCGCTCCTATCCCTTCTTTTTCGGTGGAGGAAGAGAAAGCGAATGACAGCCAGAGCGCACCGGCGGGGTCATTATACATTAAACAGGCGCCGAGGCCATCGCTCCGATTGGCAATTAAATGACACTCACTGACACTCGGCTGGTGTGGAAGAAGATTGAGACATTGGACCCTGCAGGGGCCCTTCTCAGCACACCTCTCTGTCTCACTCTTCCCTCAGCAGGGCTAAATTGGTGGCAAGCTCTGCTGCGTGCTGATGAGCGGAATGATGCCCTGTGCTTCAAAGGGATGGCCGTCATGTTTAAACAATAACCTGGGCCTCGCTATGGCAACAGCGGCATGGGTGGGGGCGGCGCTGATGGGACAGTCAGGAGGAAAAGGAGGGAAAAATTGGACGGCGGAACAGAGGCAATTTTAACAAATATGCAAGGACAGAAAGAGAAAGAAAAAAGGTGGGGGCTAATGATCACGCCGCTGCAGCCACAACGCCGGTCCCCCCTCGGTAGAAGCAGACAGGCGGCCCAGATGACATGGCACAAACACAAATGTGTCAGGGATGAAGGGAAGAGAGAATAGGAGAAGAGAGATTGGGGGGAAACACAGTCCCCAGAGAGAACCTCCAACAGAAAGTAGTTGTTCCTTGTGAGTTTACGCTCATCATTATATTCTGGCTCCAAGCCATATAGCCACACTCAAGCAGATAATGAGCTGTTTGAAAAAAAAAGAATTATTCCTTCTCTTTTTTTTCATCATCCTTCATTCTTTCTCTCAGATTTGTGTACGGCCACAACTGGGACACACTACACCACACACACACAACCTGGGCCTCGCTATGGCAACAGCGGCATGGGTGGGGGCGGCGCTGATGGGACAGTCAGGAGGAAAAGGAGGGAAAAATTGGACGGCGGAACAGAGGCAATTTTAACAAATATGCAAGGACAGAAAGAGAAAGAAAAAAGGTGGGGGCTAATGATCACGCCGCTGCAGCCACAACGCCGGTCCCCCCTCGGTAGAAGCAGACAGGCGGCCCAGATGACATGGCACAAACACAAATGTGTCAGGGATGAAGGGAAGAGAGAATAGGAGAAGAGAGATTGGGGGGAAACACAGTCCCCAGAGAGAACCTCCAACAGAAAGTAGTTGTTCCTTGTGAGTTTACGCTCATCATTATATTCTGGCTCCAAGCCATATAGCCACACTCAAGCAGATAATGAGCTGTTTGAAAAAAAAAGAATTATTCCTTCTCTTTTTTTTCATCATCCTTCATTCTTTCTCTCAGATTTGTGTACGGCCACAACTGGGACACACTACACCACACACACACACACACACACACACACACACACACACACACACAGACACACACTCAGGCACAGATATGTTTATTTGTACACTCAGGAATTCTGCGTTCCTACAGACCTTTATATAATGCTAGGGGATGATATTATAGATAAGTCCTTCAATCAGCCAGGGGACGTTTTAGTTTATGTTTTAAGGAAAATAATCAAATTGTAAAGTAATTGAGAAGAAAATGACCACCCTAAATAGTCTCAAAATGACCACACTATACTCAAAAATACTCATGAAAACAATTTTGACCCTATTTGTGGTATGTGAGTCATCAAAACACATCATTTTCTTTTGTCAAAATGTAGTGTTTTCTCCACTTTGAAATGAACAAGGCCATGTGGGTGGAAGAAAATAAAATTAACCAATAACTTTATATCCCACTCAAATCCCGGTCAAATATTTTGATGTATCTTAATGGGTTTTTTTTTTTTTGGAATTATCACGCGTGTTGTTTTGAAGAAAACAGTTGTCAAAAATTATCAAAATTTAACAATTTCTCTAAGACTGTGCGGGTGGGAAAAAATTATATCCAAGAATATTATAGCCCACTTTTTGTTAAAGACCATATAAAAATAATGTTTTGATCATTACTATTCATTATTGTGGTCAGATTATCAGTGCATGTTATTCTGAAGAAAAAATGTTTCATATCAAAACTCTGCAATTTCTCTGCCTCTGAAATTACTTTTTTGTTTTGATTATGTGGCTGTGGGGAAAAATTATATTAATAATATTAACCAGTAATTGAATCGTTGCCCACTTTTATGATGGAATCAAAACATCATGGATAAATGTATATCCTTCCCAAAATTCACTCTCAATCTGTTTTGTTTGATTTCGAAATACATCGCATTTTGGAACTAAAATGGTTTTTGTTTCGTCGAGTTCTAGATTTTGGATTTGTCATTTATTGCCGTTTCCCTTTTCCCACATAACAGATGTATTAGGTTACTGCTGCTTTGTCTTTATAGCCAATAATGTGTCAAGTCTTTAGCTCATAGTCAGTGCTTTGCTCTATGAATGTGTGTGTCCATCCATCATTTCACCCATGTCCACTCTGACGATTTACACAGTCTTCTCTCCTCCAGGTTCCCTCCTCACATGGTGCCCCCCCACCACAGTTTGCACACCACAGGGATCCCCCACCCAGCCATCGTCGCGCACAACGTCAAGCAGGAGTCCTCTCACAGTGACATCGGTTCCCTCAACAGCTCGTGAGTTCACTTTACACTTACCAGTTCTCTATTAATCCAATGCTGTCACAAGCTGGTATGCACGCGCTAACATCTGATCCCTCCCATTCGCAGGAAACAGGATGCGAAAAAAGAGGAGGAAAAGAAGAAGCAGCCACACATAAAGAAACCTCTGAACGCGTTCATGCTTTACATGAAGGAAATGAGAGCCAAAGTGGTGGCAGAATGCACACTGAAAGAGAGCGCAGCTATCAACCAGATCCTAGGCCGAAGGGTGAGCGTCTCTAACGCACCATGCAAAGTAGCAGCAGGCTGTCTCAACTACTAAGACCACAGATTGCAGTGTTGTCGGCAGTGGAAAAACACTGCTTATTCACATTTCTATTTCTGTGTAACTGTAATCTTGCTCAATGTTGCTACTGAGTAAAAGTACAATACCAGGGGAAGGGGAAATTTTAATGACAGTAGTTGGAAACACTTCCGTGTTGTTTGAGCCTAAAATATCAGTGGTCTCTTTCTCTGTGATGGCCGCAGCTTTGACGGATGTGTGTGTGCGTGTTTCTATGTGTGCAGTGGCATGCTCTGTCTCGAGAGGAGCAGGCCAAATACTACGAGTTAGCCAGGAAAGAACGACAGCTTCACATGCAGCTGTACCCCGGCTGGTCGGCACGAGACAACTATGTAAGTTTTTAAGTTTTCAACAAGTAACAATTGTTTATTCCCTCCCCAGGGGCCGCAGAGCAGTTTAAAGCCATCTAGATGTGTATTGACAATCACCCAAAAGCCTTTGGAGAAAACTAAAGCACACAGACCTTGTTTTAGGTAGCTGGGCTTCCCCAAACCAGTAAAACAGACCAGCCTAATCAGCTAAGCCAAGCTGGAAGACTTTTAGGTCCATCCACTGTACGTCTGCTTTTCCTCAGTGCAGTCAGATCTAGTTCTTTCCACTGCTTTCATTAGTATTCCACTGGTTCACCTAAAAAGAGAAAGGCGAGCTGAGATCAGAGTAATTAAATAACCACAGGGCCTAAACGCCTCACAGCTTTGATGAAAGAGGACATCTCTCTCCACCTCCAGAAATGGGGAACGAGCGCACCATTTACTGTTTCGCGCCTGACAAACGGCCCCACCGCCTAGCATGTCAACTCTCCTTGGAGTCTGACCATGTTACTTGACTCGCCTAGTCAAAGTTCCTCAACCGGAGCATGATAATCGCACTGTTCGAGCCCGACCTCGGCCTCAAAGCAATCACGGACACGTCCGACGGAACCGTAGCCCGTTTTCGAGGAGGACAAACGCAGCAAAAGTTCTCTCGCTCCACTCTTCCCCTCCAGTAAACCGAGCCGCTCAAAGAAACCTCAAGAGCTTCCAATCGTTTCACAATGAAAGGAAAACTAAGCAGCAGCGAGACAACAAGGAATAAACAAAAGGAGAGCAATTGAAAGATAGGGAAAGTTCTGTTTTGTCCTGCAGTGGCATTTCAAACCTTCAGGCTCTTACATGAATAAATAAATCAGTGAAAACATTGGGCTCTCTTGTTCATTTCATGTCTTGGTCTTTTCTGCAATATAATAACTAAGGTTCCTGTCTATTTCTCTTTTTCTGGCGGGTAACTATCAGGGGAAAAAGAAGAAGAGAAAAAGGGAAAAGCAGGCAGGAGAGGGCAATGGTAAGTGAGCTGCAATTATCTCTCATATTAAATCAGACCCATCATCTGTCACAAGTGTGACATCTCAAAGATGAAAGTCTTTTTTTGTGCCTGCCTCATTTTGTATATAGCTATGCTACCCAATGCAATATTTACACGATAGACTGCTTGTTATCCCCCTCCCCTCCCCTTGCCCCATGTCGAGCGTTAATAACATTGAATATGCATGACCCCCACAACCTCCTCCCCTCCCACCAGCTGACCCCCCCCACCCCTACCCAATGCAATATTTACACGATAGACTGCTTGTTATCCCCCTCCCCTCCCCTTGCCCCATGTCGAGCGTTAATAACATTGAATATGCATGCCCCCCTCCCACCAGCTGCCCCCCACCCCTTGCCCAGCCCCCTCCAGCATTTATCGTACTGTGATATGTATGTTTTGAGAGTGTGAGAGTTAATCACCCTTGTGACTGAGTGCCAGCCTCCGAATATGCCGCCCATGCTTGTGTCACTGTGCTCATGTGGTCGTAACTTTGGACTGTGCCTGCTGCATGCTTTTTATATACCTGCTTATGTAGTGATAATATAAAAAAGATTTTTGTTTGGTTGGTTGTTTGTTTGTTTAAATTCACCCACTTCTTTCAATTAAGGAGGTTTGCTAATTACATTGATTTGATTCACTTGACCGTTCTTCTTTATGATTACTGTGAGATATTGTCCAGGAAGTATGCAGAGTAATGTATTTGCGGTCTCTCTCCACCATGGACACCTTTTGAAGGCCTCTGTATCTTGTTCTTTTTTTTTCCAGAGCACAGAGAATATTTTCCAAACCCTTGCCTTTCACTCCCTCCGATTACAGGTGCTAATGTCATTTTGAGTCTTAAATTACTAACTTGCTTTTTTCCGCTTTATTTTTGGTTCTTTATGTATTTGTTTATTTGTGCTTGTGCAGTATATCAAATATATAATTATCTTTCTTTAATGAATAATGCCACATATTTGCTTCATATATCTTTTATTTGCTAAGCTCAGTTATTCTCTTGAAGAATATGTTGCTTTATTTTGCTCCTTTTCAGTTGTTTCCTTTGCTCCATTTTTCATTATACACACACTTTCATCAAAAGATGCTTCTGTGTTAAAAGTCATTTGTTATTAAGTAAAGAATCCCCGATTTGTTAAACTCTAAGCATGCAGCTGCAGTATGTTTATAGGAAAGACCTTTTTATGCTAAGAATAACCAGAGATGTTGTTATCAGGGTAAACCTCCTTAATCTACTGCCTTCAGTAGCTGCCCCTGTGCCAGCATGATTGCGGGCTCTGCCCTGTCTCCTCTTGATCTGCTCACCCTCCTCAAACACCCATCTATCCATGACCTTCACCCTGGTGCTCAGGTGGGCTGTTTGAGGTGGATGAACGTGGACCAGGCCTGATTATGAAGCAGCTTCATAGTGTTTCCCTGGCTTAAACTAATGCTCCGCCTCCCTCCTATAGCTCCTCCCTGCTCCTGCTACCTCAACAACCTGTCCCTATCACCTCCTCTGGTCTAGAACAGCCAGAGAATGGCCGGCAGACATGTATCCATATCTGCTGCATCCTGCAACGCTTACCTTTTAACGAACGAGCATTTATTGACCCATAAAGAGCCTTGGTTATGGAAGGCATGCACTGAGTGCTGATGAATTGATTTCTGTCATCATTTACTTTCATATTTGTTTCTTGCCGTTTTTAATTTCTAATTGTTTGTATTACTAACAAAATATGGTCAATTGCTACTATTTAAATTTATGTGTAGGGGAAAAAGACGTTTATAGAGCTCGTCAGATTCATTGGATTCAATTTATCTCTCTTTCCGCTCTCTTTTCTGATTTCATCTCTCCTCCGCTGGTTTCCTCTTCCCTTCTTCGTCACGTCAGATCTGAGCGCCCCAAAGAAGTGTCGCGCACGCTTCGGGCTCGACCAGCAGAATAACTGGTGTGGCCCATGCAGGTGTGTATTTGGTGTGCCGGCAGGTGTGCTAGAGCAGGTGACAGCTGGGAAACTCTCTCGTTGGTGCCTCCTCCCACTTTTCTGGCTCTCTCAGCCTCGCATTCTCTCCACGCCACTTCCTCTGTCAATCAGCTTCTGCAAATCTGGGCGATGTTTTTTTTTTTTCATTGCTAGGTGGGGCGGAAGGGTTGTTTGTGTGGTTATTTCTGTGTGAGTGTGTGAAAAAAGGAGTTCATGTAGTACTCCTTTTTAAATTGAATTGGAAAGAGGTGGGGTTAGATAAAAAGGCGGGGTTTATTTCCCTCTGTTAAGGGGGAGGGGTGTGGCCAGAGGGTTGAGAGGAGCTGGTCATGGTAAGTTTTTTGGGGAGGCACGGTACCAATGTCCACAGCTGATTCATTTGCTCTAGCTCCATGCCTTTTTGTGTCCAATGACGTGTGCTTTTTTTTCTTTCTTTGTTGTGTTTTATGTTCCTCTATGGATAACAGATGCAAATACCCCTAAGAAGTGTCGTGCCTTGTTCGGGCTTGACCAGCTGGGTTTATGGTGCAAACCCTGCAGGTATATTCCCAGCCCCATTCTTGGGGAGAAGATATAAATTACGATGATGTTGATTTTAAGATGACAAAAATCAGCTTTTCTTATTTTGAAACTTTTTCCATGGATTATATTTTCCTACTTCAATCTCTGAGGCCTTGTTACAGTTTATATGTTTCACAAAGACTTCTTTCTTACTTGTTTCTGTCCTTTTCTGACTTTAGAAACACTTCAGACGAACTGAAATCCTCGGGCAGAAAATGACAAAAGCATAATTACACAGGCATAGTGGTTCAAATTTCAAGTCAAGCTTAAACTTTTGAGTTTTTATATTCGTATAATTCAGTATTGCTGGTGTTTCTGCCCAAGGAACTAATCTGCTGTTTTGTACTGTTCTGCCCTGGTCACTTCTGTTAGGACTGTGTGATGAAACCACTTGTTTTGTGGAGGGTAGGGTTGGGGTGATGCCATCTCATCCCCCCTCTCTCTTTTTTTTCCCTCCCCTTCTTCTTCCTTCTCCACTCCTCTCTTATAACCCTTTATTCAGTCCCAACCTCTTGTCTTTCTGTTCTAATACAAGCAGTCTTTGAATTGGGAATGTGTTGATGGTAGGTATTTGTTTCTGCTAAGTAATACCCTTTTCTGTGTCATGCTTGTGCACTCTTTCCTTTTCACCCTTCCATCGTGGACATCAGACGTTGTGCTGTTGTGATACTCCACTGTCCGGTTTCTACTTGCCCAACTGTATCCCCTGTTCCACCGATTTCATTATCCTTGCTAGTGTAGAAATCCATCTGATTCTCCAAAAATCCACTCCCTCCAGTCTGACCTCCTTCAGGAGCAGCAGAAAGCTTCTCAACTTTAGATTATATGTCAATCTGAGTGTTGGAGAAAAGAAAATGGCTTTAATGCTACATTTTCCATTAGATATGTTTTTGAGTTAAATATTGTATGAAAACGCACAAGAGTAATTCATCTTTCTTTTGTAGACTGTTGAATCTCTTTGATTTGATTCGCTCATAACCAGCGTTGTTGTTCGTACTTTTAAGTTGAAACCACGCAATATTTAGCATTTTCTTGAAAACAAAACAAAAAACTATCTTGCTAGCCAGTAACTGTTTTATTTGTATGGACGTGTGTAGCTGGAGTTGATGAGGTTGTATTTTTTGCGGGTTAGTGCCATTCATCAGCACCTCTTGTTATTCAGAGAAACAGCCTGTGCATTTTTTGGGCTGTGCTGAGAGAAACTCTGGTAATTGCGTCTTGATTTAGGGAGCTGTAAGGTTAAAAGACCCCACTCAGCTCTGTTTCCTGAAAGATGCATCTGAGTCCCAACCTCTTGTCTTTCTGTTCTAATACAAGCAGTCTTTGAATTGGGAATGTGTTGATGGTAGGTATTTGTTTCTGCTAAGTAATACCCTTTTCTGTGTCATGCTTGTGCACTCTTTCCTTTTCACCCTTCCATTGTGGACATCAGACGTTGTGCTGTTGTGATACTCCACTGTCCGTTTTCTACTTGCCCAACTGTATCCTCTGTTCCACCGATTTCATTATCCTTGCTAGTGTAGAAATCCATCTGATTCTCCAAAAATCCACTCCCTCCAGTCTGACCTCCTTCAGGAGCAGCAGAAAGCTTCTCAACTTTAGATTATATGTCAATCTGAGTGTTGGAGAAAAGAAAATGGCTTTAATGCTACATTTTCCATTAGATATTTTTTTGAGTTAAATATTGTATGAAAAAGCACAAGAGTAATTCATCTTTCTTTTGTAGACTGTTGAATCTCTTTGATTTGATTCGCTCATAACCAGCGTTGTTGTTCGTACTTTTAAGTTGAAACCACGCAATATTTTGCATTTTCTTGAAAACAAAACAAAAAACTATCTTGCTAGCCAGTAACTGTTTTATTTGTATGGACGTGTGTAGCTGGAGTTGATGAGGTTGTATTTTTTGCGGGTTAGTGCCGTTCATCAGCACCTCTTGTTATTCAGAGGAACAGCCTGTGCATTTTTTGGGCTGTGCTGAGAGAAACTCTGGTAATTGCGTCTTGATTTAGGGAGCTGTAAGGTTAAAAGACCCCACTCAGCTCTGTTCCTGAAAGATGCATCTAGAGAAATGCCCTCAGAGACCCATAAATCAATAAGGAACTCAGTGAGATACTTAGAATCAATATGGCTCTTAAAAAATGGATATTAGCTTATTTGCCGCTGTTTGACAGGCAGTTAGCACCTTGACAGACGTCACGCGAAAGATTTGAAGAAAAAAAAACTCAAATATTCAGTGTCAATTTATGATTTTTATATAGTGTTTAATTCAGGCATACTTTATTCAACAATTACATTTCTGTCATTGTTTATTGTTGTTTACTTTTTTTTTATGCTGAATTGGATTCTTGATTTAAAAAATATTTTTTTAAATATCTAATTTCAGATATGGTGTCACGCGAAAGATTTGAAGAAAAAAAAACTCAAATATTCAGTGTCAATTTATGATTTTTATGTAGTGTTTAATCAAGGAATAGTTCATCCAATTAAATTCATGTCATTGTTTAATGTTGTTTAAATTTTTAATGTTGATTTTTTTTTCCACCACAGACGAGCTTTGGAACATCATAATGGTGAGTAGACGGAATAAAATTGTCTTTAATTTGCCATTTGATACTAATTATCATTTGTGTTTGGGGTCTGTACTGCATATTGTTGTAGGCTCTGAAGTGCTATCACTGAAACACATGACCTTACTCCTGATGTAAGCTTGCATGCCCTTTGCAAATGTAGCCTGTGATGAATATGCCAAGCACATTTACTATAAGAAACAACCTCCTGCACCTCCATGCTTCATCAATTCTGAAGGTTAGTTGTCAGTGTAAACAGATACCATACAATAGTAGAGAAAAGACAGCAGTAGTGTATGTTTTGTGGCATGAGAAATGGGAATGATGTTATGGAGTGGACCGCTGCTCTCCTCTGTGGCAGGTATGACATGGACATGTTGGTTAATAAATCATGACCAGGTCAAGGGGGAAGTAGATCAAGCACAGGAGAGAGGAAAAAAGGGGGAAATGAAAAAGAGGAAAAGGAGAGAAATAGGAAGAGGTGATCATAATGAGTGGCTTCCTACTGTCACTTCATCCGGTTGTCGCCTCAAGCTGTCAGTACTTCCTGGGAGACTCGATACTTTATAAGCTCGGGGGGGAAAAAAAAGTTGAGTGTATATGTGTGTTTGAGAGAAGAGACAGAGACATGGCCGGAATCCCACAGAGGCACTGTGTACTTTGGTAATGAGATGAGTGTTGCTGGTTGCCCGAATCTGCTGGATGACAGGACAGCTTTGGGTGGAGGAACAGATGAGAAATGGACTGACAGCAGAATGGTAATTCTGAGCTGAGGGGCTTGTGATGGCGCCTTCACTGCTGCCGTGATTATGCGTCACACTTTACAATCAAATGCAAAACATCACAACGAAGGAAATGCACTGGGATATAAAGTGAGTTTCAACTTCAGGCTTCCATATTTCACACCTCAGGCACTTATTACGACAAAAATATGCATTTCATATTTACATGATTAGGTGCTGGAATTGTGTCTCAGCCATAAATTACATCATTCTGAGATCATTGTCTCATTCCAAACCTGTATGGCTCTGTTTGTTCTGTGGAACACAAAAGAAGATGCTCTGAAGATTGTTCACGCTGCTCTTTTCATACAGTAAAAGTGAATGGGAACGTCTGGGTTACGTATGGTAACCCTCGTTCCCTGAAGGAGGGAATGGAGACGTCACATCGGATGACCGACGAAATTGGGATCTCGCTTAGAGGGACCAGTCTACTTCGAGTGTAAACTAAACGAGCCAATGCACATTGGCATGCGATCATTGCATCCAGCTGCTGCTGATCACAGCGTGAGTATAAGTAGGCAGCAGATGCAGCGCATATTCAGGTTTTCGCTGAGGAGCCGAGCCGGTGACCCGGCCATTCAGCGGTGGTACAGGAGCTGTGGCGACGTCACGTCGGATGACTGATGAAATTGGGATCCTACCAAAGGGCCACAGCTACTGCCCCTTCCAGTGTCCTGTGGAAGCCACCTGCGCCCCTACTTTTTGGCGTAGGCCAGGGCTTCTTCACAAGAGGACCAGCTACTGCTGCTATGGCACTACCCAATGAGTAAGACTGGATAACACTAGGAAAACGTACCCGTTCTACTTGGAACAGAGGCGTTACGGAAGCTCGAACCTTCCCGAAGGAGGTTTCGGAAGCAATACACATATGAACATCCCTTAGGTGCATATGGAAGAATGGAGGTGATTGAACCCACTTGGAATGGCAGAAGTCTGCCGGGGAAACACGGGCTCAAGGCTATACCGTGGACTTTACACATATGAGATCCACTTAGGTCTTACATATGGAAAGCATTAGTTCCGGGAACCAGGTCCGGGAAGGCCAATAGGGTGCCACCAGCAGGACCTGCTCCTCGTCCTCCCTGACCTTGCACAGCAACTGTGCCAGAAGGCTCACTGGGGGAAATGCATACCCCGCGGCCAGCTGTGTGCCAGTGCGTCCGTGCCGAGTGTTCCCTCGGTCAGGGCGAAGAACAACTGGCAGTGAGAGGTTTCTGGAGAGGCAAACAGGTCTACCTGAGCGGCTCCGAAACGTCCCCAAACCAGCTGGACCGTCTGGAGATGGAGTCGCTATTCTCCCGGGAGCGCAACTCGGGTCAGCTTGTCGGCTGCCCGTTTGAGCAGCCAAGGAATGTGAACAGCACGAAACCCGGCCCGGGCGTCTTGTAGCCGGTCCGAGGCGGGGTCTGGTGTTTGTAACACTGACCTGCGTTCGAGCAGAGGGTGCGTGGCTAGTCCATTGGTTCGTCCTCCCGATCCGCCCACTGCTGCTCACTGGCGAGAGAGGAGGGTGAGTGTGATGCGCACTAGATCGTCCACAACCCCCCATCCCCTCTGGGGACCCAGAAATAGAGGAATTGCTCTTTGTCAAGAATTTGGGTACCACCGACCGAGAGGTCAGTGGTGGAAAA